TTAATCTTTCTTCTTTCTTAACCTACGGGCTAGTTATTGCGTAGTGCTTAATTTTCTAATTAGTAGTATCATTTTTTATCTGAAGATAAAAATCATTTTTATTCTATTTCCTCCCCTTTTAACACTAGGCTTTTAGCAATAATAATAACAATAGTAACCAACTAGTAATAAATTAAAATCCTACTTAGTAACCAACTAGGCTTTTTAGTACCCCTCAATTCTCTAGCGTTTTATTGGTGCATCTTCTGTCTTCTTTGGATTCATTTTTCATAGTTTCTCATAGCTTCGACTATAGATGATTTCTTGAGGTCATGTCCTTCTTTTAGAGCCCATGGGGCATATAGGGGGAGGGCTCGACAGTAGTGACAAGTAGACTAGACTTAGTGTGCTCGTTGAATGTAGGCACATTAAATGCTAGGCTTCTGGAGCTGTCCGACGCACTTAATAATAGGAAAATAGATTTTGCTTGTATTCAGGAGACTAGGTGGAAAGGGGCTCGCGCCAGAGAGTGTAATGGGTACAAGTTATGGTATTCAGGCGTAGATAACGCTAGAAACGGGGTGGGTATCTTGGTTTCCTCTAGGCTCAAGGAAAATGTAGTTGAAGTTTGTAGATACTGGGATAGGATCATGGTGATTAAGGTTATTATAGAAGAGGAAGTGGTGAATGTCCTTTCAGTGTACGCCCCACATGTTGGCCTAGGGGGGGAGAAACGTTGTTTCTGGGATCAGTTAGATGATGTACTTAGGAGCATTCCGGAGGACCAAAGAGTTTTCATAGGGGGAGACTTCAATGGCCATATAGGTAGTGCAACCGACGGGTATGACGGTGTTCATGGGGGTTTCGGTTATGGTAGCAGGAACGATGAGGGGCGTACGTTGCTTGAATTTGCTACTGCTCACGATTTGGTGATCACTAACTCCTTATTTAATAAGAGAGATGCGAACTTGATTACGTTTCATAGCGGGGACATTGTACCCAAATCGACTACATCCTGGTTCAAAATCGGGATCGATGGGCTTGTATTGACTGTAAGGTGTCCCCTGAAGAGGCATGTTCTTCGCAACGCAAATTGTTGGTTTTGGTGTTCCGCGTTCCGCACGGGCGGAACACTCATAGGAGGGCTAAACTGGGTAAACCTAGGATCCTTTGGAAGAAGTTACATGGAGCGACAGCTGATGACTTTAGGAGTAAGGTTTTGTCTAATACAGGTTTTGGAACTACAAACTCAAATAATGCAGATTTGTTATGGAAAAATATGGCAAATTCCATCAGAGAGGTGGGCAAAAACACCCTGGGGTTGTCCACAGGGAAGGCCAAGGAACATAAAGAATCGTGGTGGTGGAACGACGAAGTCCAAACTAAGGTGAAGACAAAGCAAACTTGCTTCAAGGAGTTTCTACAAAGCAATGACGACGAAGAAAGGTCGAGAGCTAAACAAAGATACAAGGAGGCAAAGCGGGAAGCCAAGAAAACGGTGGCTAAAGCAAAGGATAAGGCATACGAGGAAATGTACAAGAGATTAGACACCAAGGAAGGACAAAACGGCATCTTCAGGCTTGCAAAATCTAGGGAGAATAGGAAAAAGGATCTAGGTAGCATTAGATTTATTAAGGACAACAATGGTGTTCTTATAGCGAAAGATCATGATATTAAGAGGTTTGGGGTAATTACTTCTTTGATTTATTTAATGACGGTGCCTCTCCCTGTAGAGAAAGTACCGTTGATGGGTCATCCGACCATCATACATCGGCCAATGACTGCCCTACAAGTAGGATTGGGTTTGAGGAAGTCAAAATGGCTCTTAGAAAGATGGGAAGGGACAAAGTTGTCGGTCCTGATCAAATTCCTATCACTGTGTGGTTGGCCCTAGGAAAGAGGGAGTTAAGTGGTTGACCAACATCTTTAATATTATTTTAGAGACTGCCAAGATGCCAGAGGAGTGGAGAGAGTCCACGGTGATACCAATCTATAAGAATAAAGGAGATCCCCAACGTTGTGGTAACTACAGAGGTATTAAACTACTCAGCCATACCATGAAGCTATGGGAAAGAGTGATAGAGGCTAGGTTGAGACAAGTTACTAAGGTTTCGGAAAACCAATTTGGCTTTATGCCAGGCAGGTCTACCACGGAGGCAATTCATCTACTTCGACGACTTATGGAGAAATATAGGGAAAAGTCTAGAGATCTTCACATGGCGTTCATTGACCTTGAGAAGGCTTATGATAGCGTTCCCGCGATACGATCTGGAAGACTTTGGAAACGAGACGGATCCCAACTATTTATATCCGGACGATACGTGATGTATTGTAGATCTACTACATACGTCAGGACTACAGTTGGCGACACCGAGGCATTCCCGGTGGAAATCGGACTCCACCAGGGGTCGGCTCTTAGCCCTTACTCTTCGCCTTGATTATGGACGACATCTTTTGTGCGACACCAGACGGTGTACCATGTGTATGCTTTTCGCTGACGACATTGTCCTAGTGGCTGAAACAAAATCTGAGTTGAATAGTAGACTGGCTACCTGGAAGACTACTTTGGAAGAAAAAGGTTTAAGGATCAATATTGATAAGACAGAGTATTTATGTTCAAACTTCAGTAGGGACCAAAACGAAGATGATGTAGAAGTTTGCATAGAAGGACACGTTCTCCCCTCAAAAGATTGTTTCAAGTACCTAGGGTCTATGATACATAAAGATGGGGTGATGATGACGTTACACCCGTATAAAGGCGGGATGGCTAAAGTGGAGGGCCGCTACTGGAGTTTTGTGTGACAAGAAGGTGCCTCTAAAACTTAAGGGAAAATTTTATAGAATGGCAATAAGACCAGCACTATTGTATGGATCAGAATGTTGGGCAACCAAGAAGGATCATGTAAGGAGGATAGAGGCCGCAGAAATGAGAATGCTTCGGTGGACATGCGTAGGACTCTGTGGGATATGACAACAAACTCTGCTATTAGGATGTCCTTGGGGGTGGTGCATGTTTTTCGAGAAATTGAGGGAAGGAAGACTACGGTGGTTTGGGCATGTCCTTAGGCGACTACCATCTGATGGTCAGGAGGGTAGAGTCGATTACAGTCGACGGTGCCAGAAGGAGAGGACGACCAAGGCGGAAGTGGGAAGACTGCTTGAGATCTGATTTGATGGATTTAGCCCTTACCGAGGACATGACCTCTGATAGGAAAGTATGGAGACTTAAGACTAGGATAGTCGAGTAGTGTGGGTCACATCTCTAGGGTGTATCATCTGTCTTCTTTTACTGCCTTTGTAGTAATTTACATAACTTCTACTTTTTATCCGTTTCTGTTATTGGTATTTTTGAAGGCTTAGAACGGCCTTGCTATCGTTTGAATTCTGTGTATCATTCTCTCCACTTTTGAATTTAGTCGGGTCTTACGTTTCTGTCCATATACAAAGATTACTGCCCATTACAGACACGCATATGACATTAATGATATTAATGACTGCAGATGAATATTGTACAACTATGTATTTATGTATTTATTTATACATGCATTGCATCTTATCTATATTTTTAATTTTCTGACTACCGGAGGTCTTCCACGAAAGCTACTCTCAACCTGGCGTTGGGGGCAGCCTACTACCCTACCTCCCCTTACCCCATTGCATATGGGAATTGGGTTTGTTGTTGTTGTTGTTGTTGTTGTTGTTGCTATAATATTATTTTCACTCAAGAAAACAGTTTAAGTCAATTTGAGTTCCAATAATATCAAAATTTTAGTAAATATATAATTTATGTCATAGTTATACTTATAGCGAGAATTTAATAGTAACAAAAAGTTACTTATAATAATTACTTTAGTGTTGTATAGTAACTTGTGACAAAATTACTCATAATCATTATTAATTTATCACTAAAAATCTTTATTATTGTAGTGATTGAGCAATGAATGAATTTCATATTGGCCTTTTCTTATTTCTTTAAATATTTTACAGTTTGTATGGAATCAATTCTAGCTGTTCTCCAAGGTGTTACAAACAGTGTCGTTGTTGGATCTGTGCAGGATGGATACCTGCCCAGGGTCTCAAATTAAAAAATATATAATTTAAAATTATTTTTATAATTAGATTTAATTATATTAAAAAAAAGTAGATTTTAACAATTAAAAGATTAAAATATTAAGGTAATGATGAATTATAAAAATATTATACAAATTTAAGATTATTTTTATAATAAGTTATTTGATGTTGACATAAATTATTTTTTTCAGAATTAAAAGGGTTTAGAGATGTTCATATTTAATAATTTTTTTGAATTAAATCATTTGAAATTTGATATGTTTATTAAATAATTTGTTGAGCGTAATAAAAAACAATTTACAAATAAATTAATTTATTTTTGTCTAATCTTAAAATTCAAATTTTTTCCAATACTTATCATTAGAGGCACAGGTTTTAAGTTTTCCCTAAGACTACAAAAATCTAAAAAAGTGTATGGTTAAAAAGCATATATTCCGGTGATTCCTAAATATAAGAAACAAAATAGTTAAGAGCAAGTACATCTGGTCGATTGTTCAAATTGTTTATGTTTGTTCCCTTACATTCCCTTAGGTCATGAGTTCTAGACTCACTAAAAAGATTCCCCTTTCTCCTAGAATCCTTGGTGTTGACTTTAGAGCACGTTGGGCGTATAAGGAATGGAATTCCATGTTTTGAGGGCATGTGAAATGCTTTGGAATAGAGGGAATTTTTTCGAATTAAGACTAATTTGATAAAATTATGTTTATTTTTGAAATTAAAATTATTATTATATCGTGTCATATTTTTACTAAGTCAACAGTAAAACTTGATGGCGAGTGAACAAAATATAAACATTAAACATGATTTTAAAAAAAAAATAGTTAAATGACCAAAGCTTAAAAACAAAAATAGATGAGTGATCAAATATGTAATTTACCTTAATTAACTAAAACATAAAATTATTATTAGTTTATATGTATGTAAAAAAATTTGTTTAGAAGTAGAAATAATTATGTAAAGTGCTTTGATAACATAGATAGATGAGCAGCAGGGCGAGGCCTGATCGAATATGTATGTTACAAAGCCAACATTCTTCCCCTTCCAATAAGGTAAATGGAAGCACCATACAACCAACAGCATACAGGAAACCAAGTTTCCCATATAAATTACAAACTACAACAACTTGAATTTCTCCTACCATCTAAAATATAATTTCGGATCACTGCCGTCGTTTTGGGGGCTTAATCGAAGAATTGCTTGTGGCGGCAGCAGCTATTTTCCTAGGACCTGGTGATATACATTCCAAAGAAAAACCCAAACAACGATCAAAATTTAACACATGCAAGGGAAGCACCAGTGCTTGGTGACTGATAAAACAGTTTGCTTATAGAAATACATTACATACTCGATGGAATCTTCGAGGTGCTCCTGGACAGTGACAATCGACCAGAAGGTTTTGTTTGCAACACTTTCTGAGATAGCTTCGGAAGCTTAGACGGGAGTGATGGGATGATCGACCTATTTTCATCAAGCAACAGGTTAACCAACCAGGAATTGAAGTTATTACAGCCTACTATTAGCTAGTAACTTTCGTTTCTATTTCTACTTGTCGATGCAGAAACTAGATCCTACGGAAAATAAAAGCATACAAAGTTGAAGGATACTTACTTCCCTATATGATCAGATTTTTCGGATTTGCTTGCTTTCCCAATCTTCTCTGTTTTAATTGGAGGTTGTGAAACTTCTGGAAAAAGAGTGAACTCTACAGCACTACATATTGAGCCATCAGTATCTGTAGCCCCCATTGATAGATTACCATCCGATATATCACTTAATCTCTCCTCTGAATCTACATTTCCGAAGCCCAACAGCTCAATATCCTCTGTAGTATTCTGACTCGAATCTCTTCCTACGAGGCTTGTCTGTGCAGTTGATTTATTGTGATGCCTGGACTCAATATCGTCTGTAGTATTCTGACCCAAATCTCTTTCTGCGAGGCTTGTCTGTGCAGTTGATTCATTGTGATGCCTGGAGTCGTCCATTGACCGATGAGACCCAGATTCAGAATTCTTATCACCATTAGCTGAGAAAATGTCAACGTCCAAAGCTGCTTTGTCAAAACTTCCAAAGCTCGGCCTTCTTGAGTGTCTCAGGCTTTGTCGAGGAGTCCCACTAGAGTGTCCCCTAGGAGAGGAAGATCCATACCTCAGTGACCTCATACCACACTTAGTACCATTGCCATTACCCTTGAGTAACTGCAAATGCTCAATCTCTTGATCTTTCTTTGTGATGGTTTCTTTGAGGAATGAAACCTGTAAGGTCAAAATAGAAGATCAGAAATGAACTAGATTATGCTGTTGTTGCACGTATGCCAATCAAGAGGCTCATTGATGAAAGTGAGATTTTCATAGTCCAAGTTATGGAATATAACACCGTGGTTTCCCTGTTGCCATAGAAATATGTTAACTAATATAGAAAATCACGACTTGGTTTCAACCAGCTATTCTAAATTAACTTCCAGTGAACGGGGAAAATGAGTAGAGGAAGAGAAAAGAAGAATACTTGTTCCATAAGTTCTCTGATATCTCTCCCTTCTCTGTTAGTCCGGGCAGCACCTAACTCAACACCAGAAACTCTTTCAGCAAACTTCAAAGTACTTACAGTTTCAGCATAAGAATCTACATCAGGATTAAGCTGCACAAACATGAGGGTTTTTGCCTGGCCACCTACAATTTTTAAATTTAAAAAGAGGATAATTAATAAGAAAAAAGAAAAGAGGACTTTAGAGGTATGTAGAATATTATTGGACACGACTAAAATCACGATAGAAAAATTAAAATCAAAACACTAAAATGTACCCAAAGAACTCTGGAGAACTTGAGTCAGTTTGCTATTTCTATAAGGGATGTGAGCATTCTTTTGTGCCAGAGCAAAGATTACATCCCCAAGAGCTGACAGAGATTTGTTTATATGTTGAGCCTCTTTAAGCCTATCTCCAGTTGCTTCAGAACGATCTACCCGTTCGCTGCCGGCGAGATCCACCAGATGTAAACTACCGCGCAAAACAGCTTTAGTTTTTAAGTCCATGCCACGAACATGAACAGTGAGAATACTGCATATAATAATTTGCTCAAACCAATAAGACACATTTGACACAAAACTCTTACTCTCCAAATAACAAGAAACATACAAAGTCGTAAGTGAAAATATGACCTGTGGGATCTGCTACTCCTCTCATTTAGGGCTGTAGCACCAACGGCCCTATTCATCAAACCAATACTCATCAACTCCAGAACATCAGCGGTCGAATTTACGGAATGCATGCTTGCTTCAGGGACAGCTAACCCATTTGGCTGGGTAGTGCTCCAAATCCCAAGTGTGTGCAAGTCAAAGGAAACAAATAACAAATTTTAAGAATAGGACAAAAATCAAACGTAAAATATAACAATTATGTAATGAGGATTAAAAATTCATAAATCAATGGGGAAACATAAAGAACCGAAAGTAAGAAATAATAAGAATAAAGCAAATGCTATAGAGCCAATTTCTGACTAGAATTGAGGAAAACAAGAAATGAAATTCAAAAGATTCAAAAAAAGGATATCTTCTCTGGGAACTGTCGACAACAAGCAGATCGCGAACTTGCTCATTATAGATCTCAACCATTTGAACACCAACATCATATACAATGGAGCTTCTCCTGCTTTGAGAGATTTGAAAAAGATCATTTAATGCTCTATAATTGACTCCCCAATCTTCTTTAGAAGACAAATTAGGTCCACTCTGGAAAGAGATAATAAAAATGCATAAGGTATAGCCTACAAGTTTAATGTAAACTACATATTTCAAATGGAAAGATATTAGTAAACAGCTCACCATAGTATAAGTTTTTCCGGAGCCAGTCTGACCATAAGCAAATATGCAAACGTTGTATCCATCAAGAACAGATCGAATCAATGGTTGGGTGTCCAAAAATACTTCCTCTGCAGACATATCACATTGAAAAGTGATATACAACAGCAGTCACGAAACTATAACTGTTAGCAATTATGAGATAAATTTGAATATTAACAATGAACAGAGTTATGAAAATTTAAAACCTTGGGTAGCTGCTGGACTGAAAACCTTGTTAAACTTGAAGAGCCTATGAGTGTCCTTCCCTTGCTTTGAGGGATTGGAGACAACCAATTCACCGTTCTCACCAATATACTCTATTGCAGTTTGCTTCTTGCTTTGCCCTGGAAGGAATGGCCTTATCCTACAATAGACTCTAATATTTCCTGCACAAAAGAGACAGTTTCAGCCACTTTACAAAGAAACCTAAACAAACTAAAATACACAATGTACCTTTCAAATCTTGAACCTCGTTGTACAATCTTCGGTTTTCAGCAAGAACGGAATGATAATTTTCTGCAGCATCTACTAATTCTTTAAGCTTGATTCCTACCCGAGCAAAAAAGTATACACAGAGAGAAATTGTTCAAAACCCAAAATAGAAGGAAATGAAATTTAAATGGTAGACGACACCAAACAAACAAAACAGAAAGAATAACCAACACTACCTAAGAAATTCAGATTCTCTGAGTAGCCCTTTCTAGTCTTTAGGACTTCACATTTGACAGATTTTGACGCATCCCTCAATTCCTAAACAGTGTAAAAATTCATGTTAGAGGAATATGAATCAATACCACATCATTCGAACATTGCAAACACAACAAACAAACCTTTAAAACCCCAAACTGCTTATCAATGAAACTCTGATAACAGCGCTCCTTATCTTTCCATCTCTTTTGTTTAGATTCAGAAAATGACTGAAGCTCATCCACTTTTTTCCTGGAGTCACTTAAAAGACACTCAAGTTCTTTTAACTTCTTTTCTAACAATACTTTATTATCCTCAGCCTGGACTTCCAGTTTTAGACAATGTACTTCATACATCTTTTTGCTGCTCTCTAGTTCCTCTCTTAGCCTAGAAATCTCAAGGTCTTTCTGAACCTTCTCCTTCTTAAGCTGAAGCACATCCTGCTCTTCAGCTTTACCCTTCTCCTCCAGTTTGCTCTTTTCAAACTGCAATTCTCAATAAACATATATAGCAATTATATTTAGACTTTCTAGCAAAAAAATGGCTTTTGGGAGAAAGAAAGAAAGAAAGCAGAAAAAAGATAATGAGTGAGAGACAAATCCTTGGATAGCACCACATAGTGGCAAGGTACTAAGACTTTCAATGGGAAAAAAGAATAGCCTAATTGAGTTATCTACTATCCAAATTCTAACAGAGTCCCCAAACTGGTTAAGGTATCATAAAAGCATCATAATCAGTGCAAGTGTTTAAAAAAGAGGCTCAATATCAGATTTACAAACTTAATTTAAATATTTGAAACTAAATAATACAAAATTGAACCATCCTTTAAATTCTCTTCTTCTGAAATCAAATGGATTTTCCTTTGCAATAAAAAATCAAATCTCAAGATCTCTTTATCAGTACACTAGTTGAATTTCACACAAGATTTAAACGGAAACTCATGCAAAAGATATACATTTTGTATCCTTCTTACACTTTAAACACTAGTGAATATAAGCTAAGCAATTCACAGAAATATACACACTTCTTGAGTTTCAAAAGCACGAACAAAGCAAATTATTGACAGACAAGAAATCCATAGAACAATATGTCAATAATAGTCTTTTGAAAACTAAAGGCACCAAACTAAAACAATATAGTAAAATTAAAAATCAGCAATGAATTACGAGGGGAAATGATAAGAATTGCACCTTTATATGTTGTAGATGGTTTAGCACAACCTACAAGAAGCAAAACAAATCCATAGTTATTGAGACGGGGACCAGTTGAAGGCAAAAAGAATCAAGGAAAATGCCCTAAACTGTTAGTCAAGTACCATATTTTCCTCCTCGGTCCCCTTTGCTAGGGTCTCGAGTGCTCTTATTCTTGATTGATACTTTTCCTCACGAGCCCTAAAAAGTTTGTTTTGCTGCAGGAGACAAATATTCATTATTCATGCACAACAAATGAGAAAAGATTCTCTTGGGGGAGGAGTTCCAAAGCAATTTACATCTTTTAAGGTTTTTGCCCTAGTTGAAACTCGCCATTCGATCTCTTGTACAATCTTTCTCAATAGGCATGCCACACTCTGAGCAAAAAGGCAACAATAGAAAACCAAAAATTAACAGAAGGTACCAGAAAAAATTATAGTAGCACAACAAATGCAATAGGACCGGTATCAAAAAAACATCCGTGCATGCTAAGCAATACAGGAAATGTAAGTACTAATGATGCCATACATGGGGTACATCTTTTTTTCTTTCAAGACTTTCATCCATAATCCTGTAAAGTACATTGAATAGTGATTGAGTCGAGACATTCTGCACAAGAGAAAGAACATAAGAGTAAATTAAACTAAGAGTTGCAGTCAAAAATTTGAGCACATAATAGATACAGACACAAGTATGGAAGGAGCTCAGGATCTTACATCTAAAATGCTAGATTTCATTAATTCCAGAACTGTTGCATCAGAGAGATCAGCATAACATCCTTGCTTCAATTGAATGCTCTGCAATTCACCAGAAAGATTCCATTTCTTTCTAGAAGGATTTTGGAAGGTATTGGCCCCATCATTAGGATTAAAACATGATCTAAGTGTCTTAAGGCACTCTAAAACTGGCATCATGTGGCCCTGCACATATCTCATATTATTAACCAAAAGGTAGAAATAAAATAAAAAATAGAAATTAAAACGTTAACTTGGACTTTGAACCCAGTCAACTCAGGTAAATCATTCTCTCAAGAAAAAATGCAGCTCATCTGCACCTTTAACCAGATAGAGGTTTCATTTTATGATTAAATGATCAATCCAACTATAAGAAGGGTAAACATGCTTCCACTCTGACCAAGAACTATTCGAAAATGGCATAAAAAGGCTTGAAAATGAAATAGAAGTTTACATGCCAAGCCAGGAGCATTTTTCATGGTGATAGACATATAACTAAATACAATAGTAATGATTTCACTTATACCAAACCTCATACACCCAAATGAGCCATTCTTAGCTTACTCCTCACGATGCACAAGGTAATACCAAGTTGTAGGCAAAATAGTATTTTTGTTTGAAGATCACCAAGTAGGAAATTGTTTTCCAGTTCCATTCAACCTAGCATATTAGGCACCCAGAAATAGAACATTGTTTAAAGAAAAAACATCTTCAAATCAACTGATACCTGCTCAATGTCAGACAATTCAAAGCTGGGCAGTCCCATTTCATCCATTGCAGTTAGAAACTTCATGACATTTGTAGGACCATATTCGGAACCACCATCCTGAAGTTGAAGAAGAAACATGCTCAAATAGTGAAGAAAAAAGTGAACTAAATCAGGAAAAAAAATCAGCTAAGTCATAACAAAAGAGAAATCGAACCATTTCAACAGAACCAGGATGCAACTTGTTCAAAATGGTACAAAAAATAGTGCCATCAATCAGACACCCTCTCAGATCCTCTTCTGTCGTGTCCAATGGCAACCTTAAATCAGGAAGCATGGCATTTAACCAGTCCACCAAAGAAGACAGCCAATCATCTAGCAAAATCAAGGTTAAAAGTTTAATAGTGGAAGATGATTAAACTTTGAATGAGCTAAAACAAGTTATTACTTTACCACGAATCGTGCCTTCCAAACTTTCCATTTGTTCGATATTTACATCATGAGTTCCACGCAAGCCATTAGCTGTACCGCTTTCCTTCATCTGCAGCAATAGCTGAATGCTGCAGCTAACTTCTTTGAAATTATCTTTCTGATAACATAGGACTCAGTCCTGCAAGGAGAATAACAGTATTTATCTTATGAAATTTGTAAGCTATTCACAGCTAAATACAGAAAATAAAGGCACAAATTTTGTAATAGTAGTCTGGAACTTCATCGTTATTTTAAATAAGAATAGAGTTTTCAAGGAATTTAGCTCGCATTTAGAGAGAAATTAGGGGAACGAAAAGCCATTACTGGTTTCGAGTGTCAAGATTTTTGTTTTTATTTTATTTTTTGGACAAGGAAAATAGAAGAGTGAAAATCAAAGAGAGAGAGAGATGACAGATATTCTTCTCTTATTTTACACTTCATAAAATCACTCAGATAAGCAGACAATAACAGTGTTCGATTTTCAAATAAACAGTAAAATCAAATAAAAGAAGAAGAAACTCAGAGTTACACTCTTCAACATTTTCTCAGCAACCAAACAACCATAATTCCAAAACAAATAGGAAAAACATAATTAAAAAGTCATGCCGCATTATCGATTCTCAGTAATTTCTTAGCTAAAAAGTAAAATTAAAAGCTGAACTGAAAATAATCGAAATACATTCAGATCCAAAGAAAACAACAATAAAAAATCAAGAAAATGTAGGAACAGAATGTAGGTTAAAGTACGAACCTGAGGAATCTAACAGGAAACTAGATAAAGATCTCGAAGCTGCAACTAAATCTACAATTTTTAAAAAATTAGGGAAGCAGATCCGTTCTGAGAAATCAAAGGATTTTCGAAATGAAGAACCGCAAAGAGGAAAAATGTGAAGGAAATGTTTTGGCGTTGGAAAATGGAAAACTGGAAAGCGAGTGAACGCGTTTGGTTTTTCTGTTTGGCTCAAGGGGTTATATATCGGACCACTTTTTGTTTTATTTTTTAGGTTAAATTACAAATTTAGTAACTCAGCTTTAATATCACTCTCCTATTTCACTCATGTAATTTAAATATTTTAAATTTTCTCACTTAACTTAATACATTAAATTTTTTTATCATTCAATCATTTTTCACTAACGGTATTATAAATTGGTTGTTATATAGATACAAAATAATGATTCTTTTGTAAAAAAATATTTTTAAAAGGGTAAATTACAAATTTGGTAATTGAATTTTATTCTCTCTCCTATTTCACTCAATATACTTTAAATCTTTTCAATTTTCTCACTAGATTTAATATATTATATTTTTTTGTCACTCAGTTGTTTTCTTACAAACGACATTATAAATAGATTGTTGTATAGATGCAGAATGGCATAGTTTTAACACTGTCAACTATTTAACAGTGGGATGATAAAAAAACTCAATATATTAAGTTTAGTGAGAAAATTGAAATTTTTTAAAGTTTAGTAAACAAAATAGGAGAGAGAGTAAAGTTTAGTAATGAAATTTGTAGTTTACCCTATTTTAATTTTGGATTTTTAATTGATTGCGCCAGCTATTTTGGAGTACAGTTCCCGCTTTCGTGCTTTTGGTTTAATTTTTTATTTTCAATTTTGAAATATTTAATAGAAACGAACATAATAACGGACTCAACGTTATGTTAACAGATGACTTTAAAAACACGTCGACTTGTTCACATGCTGTTATTTTTCTACTTTGAGAGGAATTATTTTTGGGTAAACTATCTGGATAGTCAAAACTAGGACACTAAACGAGTCAAATTTAGGTCACTTGACTTGGTTTGAAAACTCACGAATTTAAAATTTTTAAATTCGATTCAAATTAGAAAATATTAGTTGAAATTTAAAAAAGCTCGAAATAAATATAAAATTCTTAAACATAACTCGATTGAAGCTCAAATTCGAACTTAAATCTTAAGTACATGAAAACTAAGAGTGTAAACGAGTAGAGTCGAGTCGAGCTCGAGTATTATTGACTTGACTCGGCTTGAAAACTCGCGAATCTAAAATTTTTAAATTTGGCTCGAACTTGAAAGAATGAATTGAAATTCGAAAAAATTCGAAATAAAATCCTTAAACTTAACTTGGTTGAAGCTCAAACTTGAACCTGAATCTTAAGTACATGAGAACCTTATACTGTATTTTTTTTAAAATCAACACATAAATGTTAATATTATTAATAGTTTAATTGTTTTAAAATACAATTTTAATATATTATTTTTTCAAGTTGCTTGCGAGCTTTTCGAGTCAAATATCAAGTAGCTCGTTTCGGCTCATTAAGAACTCAAGTCTAGCTCAAGATCAAGTTGTGTATTTATCGAGCTTTGACCGAGTAGATCTCAAGTAGCTCATGATCTGTCTCGTCTCATTTACAGTCTCAGTCTCAACTTTAGTAAGTTATTAATATTTAATTCAGTGTCAAAACTATTGTTAGAACCATAGATAGAGACGGACACAATATCTTATGTTAGAATATCAACTTTTAAATTTTTTAGAAGGTGATAAATTTATAAAATTCTAATAATGCAAAAATATATTATCAACTAAAAATATAAAAAAAAAATATCTACAATGGATACTAATTCAAAATCTTTATATAGACAAATGTCTACACCCGTCCCTTTTGTCCATCCACAATCATCGATACCTCCCTCTCAACAAAATATTTAATTATAGAATATAATTTTTATAATATTTATTAATTAAATAATTTAACATTTATTATTATATCATGAAAATAAATATTATAAAATTATTTTATTTTAAAATAATTTTATATTAACTTTATAAAAATATATGAATAGTTATTTAATTATTTTGTTATTTTTAAATGAAGTGAACAAATCATGATTTAATAGTTGTATATAAGGTTTTTTATGGACGATTAACTGTATTGTTTAGTCTAAACAATCGATTAACAGTTATAACAGTTACAAGATTTTTATAATCATAACCCAACTATTAAAAAACGGTTAACATGTGGTTAAACTATTACAATTATATTTTCAAAGACAACACAATATAATGTTTTAAAATTTTATAATTCATATTACAAATTATACTTCAAAATATATCAACACATAGCATTTAGTAATAGTTCAATACACCATTAAATTTTTAAAAATAAATCTTTAACAAACATAAAGTAAATACGATAACTCAAAGTTCCTAGAAAATTGAAGATAAAAAAGAATTATGAATTAGATTATATTTACAAAGTTAACCATCCACTAAAATATAATTATAATTTAATTTAGGGATATGAATAGAAAATTATTTTTAGTTTTATTTGTATTTAACCTAAATAAATATAATTATAAATTTAATTTATTAACGGTTAACTAATGATTAATTATTTATCAAATTTTGTAATCATAACCATTAACCATCATTTTTAACGATTTGATTAACGAAAATCATTTAACATTAACAGTTCAGATAATTAATATATAAAATATAATAGTTACAATGGTCAACGGTTACGAATTATTTTGAACACTCCTAATTATATAAGTTCAATATTAATTTAGTGGCTAAACATTTGGACGTTTATGATAAATGTCTTAGGTTCAAATTTTAAATTTAACAAAAACATTTATTTTGTTATGATAATATAGTATATAATTTAAATACAAGTTTTTGATGAAATTAAAATAACTACTATGTTTAGTCTAATGGTTAGGATTTTTTATGGAGTAAGTATAATGCAATGCTCTTATCCTTGTATTTTTAGTGTTTAAAACCAAGACTTTGATGAATAATAACAATTCATTTATCACCTATATCGCTTAGTTCGTGTAATGATTAGGAACTTTGTCGTTATATAAGAGGGACTTAGTTTGATTCCCTTTATCACTAACATACATTTTTTTATTTGATTATAGTTAACCAATAAGATGACGATTATCGAGTAATCAAAACAAAAACATAAAACTAAGTGAGAGATGAAATAGGTAATTTATCTTATTATTTATTGTATTTTGTAAATAAAATTAATCCTACAATTTTTTTAAAACTTTTTTATGTAAATTTTTAAAAATTGAAAGAAAAAAAAATTATAATGAAATTTTACAATTATAAACGTAAATTAAACATATAATTAAGACATTTCCTATAACTATTGATGCAAAAAACTAACCACTTGCAAGGACGGACGTAAGATTTTATGTTATGGGACAAATTTATAAAATTTTAGAAGGGAGCGAACTTATAAAAATTTAGGAGAGCTACAACAGGTTATCAATAAAAAATACACAGAAAAAATCTGAAATATAGAACAACTTTAAAATTTCGAGGGATGATTGCCACCACCCCTCGGTCCATCCCTTGCCACTTGAGATCATATAAGAACCATAAAAGGAAAAAGTTAAAAACTCATCTAAAAACTCGAACAAAATATAGATAAAAATAAGTATGATTGTATCGACAAATAAACACAAATATAATTAATTTTTCAAAAAATTAAATAATAATAATAATAACATTAGGATTAAATTTGAAACATCATTTATGCCTTAATTAATGAATTCATAAAATTATAACAAAAAACATAACTGATTTTCTTTCATAACCCCAACTATAATTAATTTTTTTACTACGTTTAATTCAATATTGTTGTTACAAATAATATATTAATTAGCAACGCGTGTTGGTACGAGTGGTTGAGATTCATGAATTTGAGCTTATAAAGTCAAGTTCGCAACACGAAATTTCAAATTCGCAACACGGCATTTCAAATTCGCAACTCGATTTCTGAATTTGCAACACGAATCTCAACACAAGTTTCCTTTTCGCAACTCGATTTTTCGAATTCGCAACACGAATTTTAATTTCGCAACAGCTTTTATTTTAGCAAAACAAATGTTTTGGTATATAAACTACGCAACAGCAACAACTCATAACCTAAATCCCTAAATTGTAACTCATTCCATCTATATCTCTCACTCTCTCCGGCGACATCCGTTCCTATATCGAACGACATCCTTCCTCATCTCTAATTTTTTTACATAATTTTATTTCTATATAATTTTTCAATGATTTCTCTCCCAAATTATCAACTATCAACTTATAAAGGTATGTTTTCTCTAAGTTAGTGATGATCTAGTTTATAGCTCGTTTGTTTAGTAAATTAATTTACAATTTGTAGAATGAAATCATCTAATGTTGATCATGTTTGGATATATTTGTGTTTTGGAGGGTCATGGGAGAATATTACTGGTGTTTTACAATATATGATTTTACCCATGAATCTTCAACTAAAACTGTCATTAAAAAAGTTAACTTATGAAACTCTAATGTTACGTGTTTAAAAAAAATAAATTTAGAGCCTTTAAGTGGATTCAGGTTATCTTATCAGAGAAAATGTAAAGTTTATTTGTTAACTAACAATGAAGATGTTGAACGATTCATTGCTTACATTAGTGTTTCGCAAGATGATGTTACATTGTATGTTGTTGAACCTAGAAGTAGTGAAGTTGGGTCAGTAACGGTCAGTAATCAACTAAGTTCTTCAGCCCCAGTTTATGGTGCTCACAATATACAACGTTGTTATCAACCTCAAAATTTAATGGTTCCACCACAATTTCATCACAAAAAAATTTTGTTTCACTATATTTCCAATACCAAACACAATCTCAAAACCCACAACCTTTCCCTAATCCAAATCCCAATAAATTTTCAGCACCAAATTCCATTTTCGTATTGACCAATTAGACGATGATGAGCCAACAGAAAAAAATTTGAGTACTAGTCAGTATTCGAAATTTGATCTTGGTCAATACCCGGACTTTGATTTTGGTAAATACTCATATTTTGATGTTGTTTCAGAAG